TTTAAAATTAAGAACTATCGTCCTGTGGTATTTTATATGCCAAGTTGTTTTTTAATCAACAATTTTCAAATAAGTTTATTTATTTATATCCGGTTTCGTTGTACAATTATCTTTATGTATATTACAATTAAGACTAGAGTATATGTATAAATATATGAATAGTTATATGTATATACAGATATTTGTATATATTTATATGTATATTTATAAATATATATACATATGTATATATGCATATAGTACATCATACATCAAGATTGAATACCAATTCGTCAAATAACTGTTGTTCTTGTGTCATAGAAGGCCTTGCTTACAGTAACAGAATGATAATACTAAATACGATTACGAGTTAATTAAAATGGTGTTCTCCCTCGGTTCGGCTGAATTGCTTAGGAATCTGTGTTATGGCAGCATTCGCATAGATTTTGATTTAGTTAACGTATTTGTATAATGCTTGTTAGGCTTTGCATCTAGCGTAGTTAGTCGAATTGTTCGGCGTTCTACAGTTTACTTATGCAAATTGCTCATATCATATAACCCTGAGTTTAGTTTATTCTAGTCGAACTTGCAGCTGCTGATTCTAAGGAGTTGCTACGTTAGTATTTGATTTTCTTTAATTTGTACAACTTACAAATGAATTACATTGGCTACTATAATGAAATAATATGTATGTATATATATTTATATGTTATATTTATATATTTGCTTTTGGGTTATATCTTTTTAGATTTATTTTTCTATTCATGTATCACAACAAAATGCGCATGACATTTGGCATTCTATTCAAAAGCAAAAATAATAACAAGAAATAATTAAAACTGTTTAGTCGGCAGCGCACGACTAGCAGATACCCAGTACTCATTGAACATCCTCTCATATATGTACATATATAATTACCATAAGAAAGTCAATACTCCTCTACTTTGTAATTTATAAATATGTATACTTTTGTATAATATATCATAATTTGTGGTGAAGGAGATCAATGTGACGCGTGTGCGTATTGATCTATAGATTTGTCGTCTATGAAGCAGAAGTAGGCAGTCTGATCTTGGGGTCCAGCTGAGGTCTGAATACATATACCTTGTTAACGCCATGAAATACTATGTCAATAAAATTTTGAATTGATTTCGCCAAGCTGCACACGTAGCTAATTAGAAGTGTCCAAGACAAGGCGGGCTACCAGACGGACGGACAGATATTGCCCTTGACGTTAGTTAGACGTTTGCTTGGTCAGATATATATTTGGTAATTTGATGCTGCAGGAGGGGCTGAATGGGTACAGGGTATTCTTAACAACAAGATCAACGACAACAGCTGCAACGACAGCATCAACAACAATAATAACAACAATAGCTTGAATTTGTTTAATTCTATTTGGATATTGGTGTTGTTGCTGCTGTTGCTGCTGTTGTTGGCAATTCACTGCTGGTGATTTCAGAAGCCTTTAGATCGGATTGCTGTTGCTGCTGCTGGTGTTGCTGTTGATGTTGATGTTGATGTTGATGTTGCTGTTGCTGTAGGGGCTGCTTCTCAGTTAAGACGGGTGTGCTATGCTGAGTTATCATGTCCGCCGGAATGAGTCCTTCTTTGACACGCTTCTTCTGCTTCATGCGGCGATTTTGAAACCATATTTTCACCTGCGAATTAAAAAATACGGTTAGAATATAAAGTTACGCTTTGTTAATTATAAACTAATTAAACAGAGCTAACATAGATATTCAATATTCAATATTCAGTATGCAACAGTATTTAGAAACACTTCCAACTGGGCCAATTTCAGCCTTAATATTTTTCAATTAGGCTTTCTGCTGACCTTTTGTTATTATTAACAAGCGTTGAGTCCATGTCATTCAAAATTGGTAATGCACCAAACCCCTCGCCATATGTAAGAGGACCTCATTCGAGCCTTACGGAAAATGTTGATTGGTTTATGCAAGATATTCAGCGAATTATATTATTATTATTTTGTAATAAAAGTGCAATCAGCAAATCAGCTAATGAAAAATTGTCTACCATTAAGAGTGTAATCTTATATATACTTTCAATCAATTAATTTAATTAATGGCCACATAGGTACTTTAGTTGTATTATTTTGTATATCGGTTTATGTCTGAAATGAGCTATTTTGGTCAAAGAAAGGGTCTATTAGCACCGGCTACTTTTGGCTACTGTCCTTTCAATTGTTGCTTCAGCTGGTCAGAGGCTTAGACTCACCTGCGTCTCGTTCAGCTGCAGCGTGTTGGCAATCTCGATGCGGCGGGCACGGGTCAAGTAGCGATTGAAGTGGAACTCCTTCTCCAGCTCCGTCAGCTGCTTGTTGGTGAAGTTGGTGCGGCCCGAGTTGTTCGTGGACGATAGACTGCAGTTGCTGAGGCCGACACCGGCGGGGGCACCAACGGCAGCGCCACCGACAGCCGCAGCACCACCGCCGCCGCCCACGGCCAAGCCATTGGTGGCGACGGCCGTGCTCGCGCTCTGCGGCAGCAGCGGGTTCTGGATAGGCAAGCCGGCAGAGCTGCCCCCGCGGCACATGTCCAGGTGACCATTCAGCTGGTAATCGTGCATGTTGCTCATGTTGGCAGGTAGTTTCGGTGCTGTAAGACAGAATCAGCGGTAGAAGGAGAGAGAGTGAGCCATGGGAGGAAAAGAAAATAAGTGATCGTCATTCACTTAGAGTTTTTTTTTTATTTTATTTTTTTTTTGTTGTGGTTACGCTTTGGGTTATGGCTGAGTGATCCCCTGGCGTTGATCTCTAGCTGTCGTACCTAATCAGTGTGAGAGGCCCGGAGACCCTGGCCAGGCCATGGGCATTGTTGGCATTCATCTGCATGTGTGTGTGTGTGTGTTTGGGTGTTGTATTTATTTTTGGGCCGTGCCTTTGACTTTTGCTCTTTGCGTGATTCTGCATTTTATTCATAATTTGACATGCGCCCCGTGGCTAAAGCCGCCGATGATGAAAATAATCTCGGCTCTTTCCATAGAAGGATTTAATGTGGCTAATAGGTTTGTTTGAAAATATTGGGATTATCCTGACAGCGGGCTTGACTTTACCTTAGACGCAGAAACCAAATCGAATAGATTTGTGGGTGGCACGGAAATAGGCTTTCTTGTATTTGTTTTCTGTGGGCTTGACTGGTTACCTAAGCAACGATGTGTCAAAAAAGTACTTTTGGATCTGCACAGACCTCTACAGGACAGAGGGAGTGTCTGACTGGGACCTAACATTACATAGTCTGGAGAAAAGGACATGGGTATATCCTTTGTGTTTGTTGTCCTTAGGCTTAGATGCGCAGCTTTTCTTCTCTTAAACACAGATCCGCCTCGGAAAATAATATATGAAGTGCGTATTAATTAATGCGGAAAACATATTATTCCTGTAATTATTATTACTATTAGAGGAGAGAGAGATAGAGATAGAGATAGAGAGAGAGATAGGATAGAGTGAGATAGAGAGAGAGAGACAGAGAGAGAGACAGAGTTCTTGAACTACCTTGACACAGTTGACTTATGGAATTTCCTTCGATGCAATAAAAATATGAAATACATATAGAGGTAATGTGGCTGGTGATAAAAACCTTTTCACACAATCATAAATCTAAATGGAAGTTTCATTCGAATAAATCAATTAACGAGAATTAAGTAGCAATAACGACAAGTAAGTGTTCAGTATTATTGGAACGACGCTTCGATTAGTTTTAAGTTAAGAGGTGAGCGGCAGCTGGACGAGTCCGGGAAGGACTCATAAGTAAGAACAACAATATTCGAGCATTATGAGCGCAAGTAGTTGGGTTTTTGTTGTATTTTATGCATTTCGGCTATAAGTAGCGACATACAATAAATCAAATGGGCGATATCATAAATTACAAAAAAGAATATAAAGTGGGAAATATAATGGAAAAGGCCGACCGCTCTAAGCACGCGAATTAATGATGAATTTATGACACCTACTGCAAAAGAGAAGTCAATTTGGCGTACACTGATGACGGACACTGTGGCTCAATTGGCACTGCGAGGAGGGGGCGCAGTCGATAAGCCGCTGCTGGAGCTGGAAACTGAAATTGAATTCAAGACTCCTATCATAATGCATACACACACACACACGCAGAGGCATAGGTGTGTGCAAGTGTGTGTGTGCGTAAGAAAACCAGCAGAAGGATTAGACTGTGAGTGGTTTGGGCGACATTTGAATTTTCCAGCAAACAAACAGCAACGCTCAGTGTCGCATTCCAGTCGTCTATGAGTCCGGGCACTTCGGATAGTATTCGGGCATGGAGCTGCATTCACTACTGCTGCTGCT